TCGATCCTTTTTTTCATTTGTATATAAAAGGGAACAAGAAGTGAAGAAAAGCCGAACCAAGAGGAGGAGGACTGAGAAAGCCTCAGATAAAATAGTGCATGAAAAGGTTCAATCAGATGACAGAGTTCTCGTTTGCTAAGTAGAAAAGCCTAATCAGTATGCCTTCAAGAAACTTAATTCAGTCGATTTAATTATGAACTGACAAGTTAAAATGAAGTAACTTGTATCAAACTTTCTCTGTGAAAGACTGATAGATATAGGTGGCTAGAGGATATAGTTGTTGTCTATTATGGCTTATACCTCATGCAAGTAATTTGATCTTAGAACTCCAGAAAGTTTTAAACTTTAATCTAGTGCCTTTTAAATTCATTGAATTTATTAAATTTGTGAATTTATTGGACTCCAATTTGCAGCCATAAAAGATGTCCCAAGCATGCAGAGATGCATAGAGTCTCCTGATCCAACTAGTCTGTTAACATTGAAGCATTTGAAAAGTAAGAACCCCTTGAATGTCCATATGGGGAGGATGAATGACACTATGGTTTTTTACACAAGTTTTGACACAAATTTTGAATCATTAAATTTAAGCACTATTAATGGCTCAGATTAAATCTCACAACTAATTTATTATTATCTTTCTAATAATACTTCTATTCAAATTATTATTATTTATTTATTTTTTACAAGAAAAAGTTTAGGGGGGGAGAAGAGGCTGCCCATCCCTGGCGTTGCTGATTGGTACTACGGTTCAATAAGATTAAGTCATGTGTACAGCTTAGACATGTCAACGGAACCATAACCGTTAGTGCCGAAGTTAAAAAAACAACATGAATGCTCCCACCCAAAAGCTTGAAGTCCTCCCAACGCTGGCTTTTAGACCATGCTCCCACCTATGATTAGATCAACAAATTTCTATACAATAATATTCTTTGACGAATTGCTGTGCAACAAAATTATTTGACATTGGGTCATTACCCAAAAAGGCAAAGGCTTTGAGCCTGATGTGGGAGGCAGAAGGGGTCAATTTTAAAGGGAATATTTAACGGCAAGATTTTCATTTTTCAGGGTTTAGGCCACCGCCACAGTCGTTCTAAAAAATTTCAGCCATAAGAAAATGAAAAAAATCTCGAAGATTCCGACTGTGAGAGCTCACAGTCTAGACGTCTTCAATCCTTTGTTTCATTTGTAAACAAAAGGGAACAAGAAGTGAAAAGCCGAGCTAAGAGGAGGAGGACGGAGAAATCATCAAATGAATTATTGCATCAAGATAGCTCCATCAGTGGTTTGGAGGACCAAAGTGTTTAATCAGTGTATTTAATTAGGAATGCGACTTGTATCAAGCTCATGTATGTGTGTAATATCAAATAGCTCTACTATATGCTTTGAACATCCTTGATGACTGCAAATTGGAGCATAATTGAATTAAATCAAATTAGTATACTTGCTACGTACTTATCTTCCATATAATAAGGCTTCAATGCTGTGGTAGGTGACATCAAGAATCAGCACAAGCCGAACAAAAATGATGGATTTTACTTTTACACAACCATGTGTTTTAGTAGTTGTTCAACATATATTTATTTTATATATATATATATATATATATATATATATATATATATACGCACACAGAGAGAAAACGGTCAACAAGCACTAGCATAATTGAGATTTACGCAACCGGTGCAGATGACGGTGTTGGATCACTGTGTTGACCTGTAGTGGGCTGCTTGGTGGACTTGTTAGGCCACGTTATTAACACGCCATGCCTTTAATTGCATTGCGGAATGTTAATATAATAATGCATATGACATAGTGTTACGAGTTCATACAAATTATAACACGTGCACGGGTTATAATTTGTGAGATAAGGAGGATTGAAAGTCACCTACTGTCCTCCAATTAGTTTCGTGGTTAGTCCACTTTAGCATATCCTCCCTCTCTTCCTATATCGAGTAATTCTTCCCTATTAACGGTTGTATATTTATATATAATTCTATATTTGGTTTCATTTACATCATTTGACGAGAGAGACACATAGTTGTATACTATCTATGGTGATTAAAAGAGAAAATTTATCATGAATTGCGTTATGTTTCTCTTTATATTTTCATTCAGAGTAATTATTCTATCCACTTTTTTTTCTTTTGAATAAAATATTCCCCTAATCTTCTATTGTTTACAAAGTTCTTCCTTCAAAAAATTCACAAAGCAACTTTTGTGCTTAAAATATAGTTAAGCACACATAATATTCCTCATCTAGTGGAGAGTGACCGTTAATGGATGTGCCTATTAGTTGCTCATTTGCTCATCCCATATGGATGTGCCTAATCCACTACGCGATATGTTGACAAAATGGCATATTATTCTCCAAGAAATTGATAATTTTGATCCCCCATCGATTTTATGTGAATTTTAAGTATGATATTAGGAGGAGCTAGTCAAAAACGTTAAAAAAAAGTCCATTAAAATGCAAATAAAAAGTCAAAATTTTGTTTATGTTACATTTGTGATCCCATAATGATGTCGTTTATTTGGTTTCTGACCTTTTGTTACAACTTTTGTCTTTCATTGAGCAATTTCCAAACAGCGTGCGGTCCAATTCACACCTAGACGCGGCAGACTAATGGGGGGTAGCTCTTATTTGCCGGTGTAGCTTCGGTGCTTATATAATCCGTTTGCTTGTTCTTGCTTTTGTATACATATTTGTCTTGAGTCGAGCTTCGGTGCAAATAATGTAAGCTTCGTTCCTTTTTCTTTATGTCCTTCAAATTCATCTTATTCATATTGCTTTGTTGGATATTTGGCCAACTTCATGCATGTGTTTTTGGAGCATGTTCTTTTATTTTTGTTGTTAATTACCAACTTTTCTTTCCCTTCAGATATTTAGGTCCTTTTGCAGTGCGCAGACCACCATCATGAACAAAACTTTGTGGGTTATGCTATTTATGGTTTTCTATAATGGTGCTTCTTCAAATGGACTTGGTGCTAATGTTACTACGGCAAGACCTGACGTTGTCAACATAGGCGCGATTTTCACTTTCGATTCTGTCATTGGAAAAATTGCAAAAGTTGCAATAGCCCTTGCAATTGAAGATGTCAATTCTGATCCAGAAATTCTCAATGGAACAAAGCTGACACTTAAAATGCAGAATACCAAATCTAGTGACTTTCTGGGCATCATTGAGGGTACACACTAATTAAATTTCCCATGTTTTCACTCAAAAGTTTTATCAGTTCCTTTACACAAATCTTAGTAAGAATGATGGATATTTCTTGTTGCTTGACAGCTTTGCAGTTCTTGGAGAATGACACAGTGGCCATAATTGGCCCCCAATTCTCAGCTACTGCTCATGTAATCTCACATATTGCAGATGAACTAAAAGTCCCACTATTATCATTTGCAGCAACAGACCCTACTCTGTCTCCAACTCAGTTCCCATTCTTGGTTAGGACAACAAGAAGTGACCTCTTTCAGATGACTGCAGTAGCAGACCTTGTTTTCTACTATGAGTGGAGAGATGTCATAGCAATATATGTGAATGATGATTTTGGCAGAAATGCCATTGCTGCCTTAGGGGACAAGCTAGCCGAAAAACGGTTAAAATTTCATACAAAGTGCCTCTGAACCCCAAGGCAACAAAAGATGAAATCACCAACGCACTCATTAGTGTTTCTTCAATGGAGTCCAGGATTCTGATCCTGCACATTTATACCAGTTGGGGTCTACAAGTGCTTATTGAAGCACGAAACCTCATGATGATGGCTAGTGGATATGTCTGGATTGCTACTGATTGGTTCTCTACCATAATAGATACTGATCCTTCCCTGCCTTTTATATCAACAGATGACATTCAAGGGGTTCTTACATTAAAAATGCACACACCAGAATCAGAGCTCAAAAAGAAATTTAAATCGCGGTGGGGCAACTTAACTAGTGCAAGAAGAGTGAATGGCTCTTCTTTTGGGCTAAATACGTATGGTCTTTATGCCTATGATTCTGTAAGGCATCTTGCTGTTGCCCTTGATTCATTTTTTGCTCGTGGGGGAAATATTTCATTTTCAAATGACTCGAACTTAAACGAGTTAGGCGGAGGGAAGTTGAATCTTGATGCTTTGAACATGTTCAATGGTGGCAGCCAGCTACTCCAAAGCATTTTAGAGGTTAACACAACTGGTTTAACTGGGCCAGTTAAGTTTAATCCAGATGGGAACTTGATTAATCCTGCATTTGAAGTCATCAATGTGATTGGCACAGGGACTAGGACAATTGGTTATTGGTCCAACTCTTCTGGTTTCTCACTTGATCCACCAGAAAAGCCTCAAAAGAAGCTGCAGTCTAATGGCTCCAGCACCATTACTGAACAACTATACAGCGTCATCTGGCCTGGACAAACAACTCAGAAGCCTCGTGGGTGGGTTTTCCCTGACAACGGAAGAAAGCTCAGGATTGGTGTCCCAAATCGAGTTAGCTATCGTGAGTTTGTGGGCATTAAAGGCACAGAATTCACTGGCTATTGCATTGAGGTCTTTCAAGCTGCATTGAATGAGTTACCATATGGTGTCCCATATAAATATGTCCCTTTTGGGGATGGTAAAAAGAACCCAGAAAACCATGAACTTCTGCACTTGATCCAAATTGGTGTAAGTATAAAGTATAAACTACAAAACAGAAAGTATTTAGATTTTTCTTGACATTACTATAATTATTAATTCTTTGGATTTCCATCTTTATACAGGACTTTGATGGTGTGGTTGGAGATATTACCATCACCACTGGCAGAACAAAGATGGTGGATTTCACACAGCCATATATTGAGTCTGGTTTAGTTGTGGTTGCTCCAATAAGGAAGTCGAACTCTAGTGCTTGGGCTTTTCTGAGACCTTTCACACCAATGATGTGGGGTGTCACAGGCATTTTCTTCCTAGTTGTGGGAACAGTAGTTTGGATTTTGGAGCGTAGGACAAACGAGGATTTTCGGGGCCCTCCAAGAAAGCAATTTGTCACAATTATTTGGTAAGTGCTTCAATCCACATCTTCAAATGCAAAATTTCAATACATTCCACCAAGGTTTTGTTGGTTTGTTTTTAATCATCTCTTGATCTAAACTCTCTAATTGGTATATAATTATTGCTTTCTTCTCGTAGGTTTAGCTTTTCAACTCTATTCTTTTCCCAGAGTAAGTGAAATGAACCAAGAAGCTTATATTATGTTAAATGTTAATTTATATAACTGTTTGATCTTATTCCTTGTTGGTAACATATGCAGAAGAAAAAACAGGCAGCACGCTCGGTCGCTTCGTGCTAATCATATGGCTATTTGTAGTTCTAATACTCAACTCAAGCTACATTGCAAGCCTGACGTCAATCCTCACAGTGGAGCAGCTTTCTTCACCTGTTAAAGGGATTGAAAGTCTAGCAACAGGCGGTGATCCCATTGGTTTCCTGAAGGGTTCATTTGCCGAAAACTACTTAACCGATGAGCTAAACATACACAGGTCCAGACTTGTACCTCTCAACTCACCAGAAGAATATGAGAAAGCCTTGCAAGATGGCCCCAGGGCAGGCGGTGTTGCTGCAGTGATCGATGAGCGTGCATACATGGAACTCTTCCTCTCTTCTCGATGCGGATATAGCATTGTAGGTCAAGAATTCACGAAAATGGGATGGGGTTTTGTGAGTATCATATCCTTCAATCTCATTGTACAAAAGTTCATGACATTTGGTTTTTGCGTTTTTGTTTTTTTTCGGCATATATATAGTTTGATACCTTATGTTGTCATTCTGTCAATCTCAATCTGAGCCTTGACAACATAACTATCGTATGCTTATAATAATAGTTGGTTTTTCATTTTAGGCCTTTCCAAGGGACTCTCCACTAGCAATTGACATGTCAACTGCAGTACTTAAACTATCAGAGAAGGGTGATCTTCAGAAGATTCATGACAAGTGGCTGATGAAAAGTGCTTGCAGTGCAGAAGGAGCAAAGCAAGCTGTAGATCGCCTTCAGATAAAGAGCTTTTGGGGCCTTTTTCTGCTGAGTGGCATAGCTTGCTTTCTTGCTCTTGTTCTTCATGTTATTCGCATGGTGCACAAATACTACAAGCGGCCTGATTCTGACTGTGAGAGCTCACAATCTAGACGGCTTCAATCTTTCGTTTCATTTGTAAATAAAAGGGAGCAAGAAGTGAAAAGCAGACCCAAGAGAATGAGGACTGAGAATGCCTCAAGTAAAATAGTGCATGAAGATAGTAGCATCAATGGTTTGGATGAAAGCGTCTAAACTATGAGATAATGAAAAAAAGTGAAAAATAAGTGAGTGATTTGTAGCTCAAATGATTATATCCACATATAAATAGGTCTTTAGGTTCGATTCCTATTCTCTAATATCACTTGTATAAAAATAAAAAATAAAAAAATTAAGGGAAATTGGTACCCCGTGAATTGGGGTCGAAGCCTGCCAAAAAAGCCCAACAGATTGGCCCGTACTCTAAATATGGGCTAGAATGAGGTTTGAGCCTGGCTTGTAGCCCAATAAAATATCCGTAGACTAGACCAGACATTTTACTACACACTTTTTTTTTTCCTTACATCTTTTCACACCCAACTTTCTTCATAACTTCTTATATTTCGATTACTTTCTTTTCGATTTTTCAACAATAAAGTTGGGAACTTTTTAGAAAAGAATATTCGATACTAGATGTTTTGATCAAAATCCTTTTGTGAAAACAGCCAATTCTTAATACTTAACATGATCCTATGGTACCACTTGCTACCCTACCTGTGGCTTCCATTCCACGTAAAGCCAATAAATTAAACAAGCAAACACCATTCTGGATTATGATTGATTGAAACCCAACTGAGCCATGGACCATTATTGGTGGTGCACTCACTGGTCCCTGGTCCATCCGGCAGCGCATCTGAAATTCTTCACAAGGCATGTATGTGCATTTGGCTTATTGGGTCCACCATTCTTGGTTTTATTGTGCTGTTCTTTTGCTGATAAATTGAAGGTCGGCTGGTCCACTGATTTTTTTTTGTCATTCCCTCGTATGACTATTTGGTCTAGTCACGCCAATTTTCCACTTTATTTAAAATTTTGAGTAGATGGTAATTCACATATGTTAAGAATTCTTCAATAAGTATTTATGTTAAGCATTAGTTACATACTTCTAATCTTGATCATTGAATTACATTTATTAAATGTATTAGTAGTTTCTTAGATGTTATTCAACGGCCGATATTAGAATTCTGTAACAAATCTTTAACTTAAATACTTATTGGAGAATGTCCGATGTTACTAAAATCTACTGACTATGAGCATAACTTAAATAATGTTATTGGTAAGTCATCTCATTTTAGATTTTGTTTCATTTGGAAAAGAAAAAAGGATAATAAGTTGCATCAGATCTTGCTGATGATGGTAATTAATATGAAATGATTAGTCACTTTTTTAAATTAAGAGAAAACAAAATTCTCTCAAGAAAAAGTCAAGAGAAAACGAATTATGTATCACATTTGCACTTGTGTACGTTGTTATCAGTTAGTTAATGGTACAAAATATCTACGAAAAGAATAGTCCTGCAACCATCATTTTTTATGAGAATTTTGCACCTCTCAACTTGTAACGGTGAAAAAGAGAGGACAGCCACAAAAACCATTTTGCCACTGAATATTCGGCGGTCGTCATCTCCACGTCGTGGAACACACTCTCATCACAACCAACAGTGTCTCCTTCTTTCTACCTGGTATTAATTTCCAACCCACATTTTCTGCATTGACAATAATACTGTTATCCTCATTATACATGAGCAATTTCAGAAACTTTCTCAGGTGTACATGCTTGACCAATACGGCTTAGCGTATAAGCCTGACCTTTTTGATGCATAAAGCTCTAAAGTTTATAACTTTTTATTTTTTAAATTCCTTTCATCTTCTTTGCTAGAAACCCCAGTTGGCCAATTTCCTGATTATACTTGTCCTCTGGGGGGAAATGTGTTTTTTCTCAAAAGGGTTCTTTGGGTTTAAGTCACAAATGCTGTGTTACTGTTTCAATCTAGTAAGAGAGTAGAAATTTCTGGGTCTAAGTTCTGATTCAGTTCTTTGGATTAAGTCAATGGCTGTACCGTTAGTTGTCTTTTCATCTGGAATCAAACTTCTAAAGGTTTCTTTTCCTTTTTTCACTGTTTTTTTCCCCTTGGTTGAATTCTCTTTTTTGATGTGGAATTCTCTTTTACTGTCAAGTGTTGCTAGAATATGCATATTGGTGTGAGCCCACAATTGTGTCCGTATTAAACGCGCTTCCTTTTTCCTCAAAGTAAAAATCTTTCCTCACAAGCTGCTTTCTACTTTCATTTTGTGTCTGTTGTCTCTTCATGGGTCTGATTATTTGGTAATTTAGCAGAAAACTCTAGTTTATGGGCTCAACTTATCATTTGTCTGTTTATGTTTCATGATTAGATCTAGTTATTGGTGGGAATTTCTAATTATTTATCTACTTCTTGTGGAGTTTATGATGTTCAGGTTACGTGTACATACTCTTCCAGCACCTAGTTGTTCTCTTCATGTTACTGGATGAAATTCTTAGTTGCTTGCTTATTTTTCGATGTTTCTTAACTGTGCCAGTGTATGAGTTTGAAGTCCAGTTGATTCTACCGCTTTCTGGGTGGCTGGTTT